TTACATAGTAAAATCTTTAACCAAGTATGTGTTTAACAATCAAAAACCAAAAAAATTGACGACTATTATGGAGGTGACATTGATTATTGTATTTAATACGTCTATCAGCTTTTACCTGTGATTCTATAAGTTCTTCAATTTCTTAGCACAAAAATCTCACAAACTTCATTCTCTCTACTCTTCTCTTTCTTTATATATATATTTTTTTGTTGGACTCGATCTCGCACTAACTTTCTTTTCAACTTTCTCTTTACTAAGACTAGAAACTTCACCCCATGCTCACTTAAATCTTGAATTTACTTACCCAACTTGAAAAATAATTTTCTCCCATCTCCCTTTTCATCCTCTATTTACCCTAAATTTCTCTTCCTTTCTTTAGCTTAGTCGTATTCTGTTTGTTCTCTCTCACTAAAGTTCTATTTTTTATTTCTAAAGACTAAAAGAAAGAATCATCCATAACCCACTTTTTCCTCTCCTTCAAAGCCTCAATCTCTTCACTCTTTGTCTTTACCTCCGATTTTTTTTTTTTTTTTATTGTTTCTCTTTTTTCTCCTAAAGTGTCAAACATTTTATTGTTCATTATCAATCAATCACCACAAAATCAATTCAGCAAATACCTACTCTTCATTCTATTTTCTTTGTGTTTGGAAGAGAACCCTTACAGAGACTCATATTCATCATTATTCATCTACTCATTAAGGATCAAGATTAATGACACCTATAATACATTGCCATTTGGTGCCTTTATTGGGCGTGGGCTAGATTTTTCAATTTGAGCCAAGACAATTCAAGTTGTAGTACTTTTTTTTTTTTTTTTTTTTTTTTTTTATCAAAGTTAGATGTTGGCTATATTGGGGAGTCAATTTTGAGTTTGGTTGATTTCGAGGGGTTCATAAGATTCTGGTGAATAAAAATTGGGCATAAGACATTAATGTTGGTGTCAAAATGAGTTTTATTTATATCATCCATAATAATTAATTTTAAGAATAAATGATTGTTCTCAAAATTTGTATAAGGTAAAGGCAAAAATTGAGTCAGAAAAAAACTAAGGTAATAAAGATGGTGATATAATAGGGACATATAGTTGTGACAATAGTGAGTAAGAGTGATTCTGGCAAAAAGTGAAGTGACAACATGAGTGGTGAAGGTATAAATTATGATGTTATTGTTACGGGATAAAGAAGGAGGGAAAAAAAATAAATATGATATTTTAGTCCATTTAAAATATTATCCAAGTGAATGTATTGTTTATTTATTTCTCATATAAGAAAAAACATTATTTATAATAGTATGAGTACTATTTTATATTACCCTTAAGAAATTTCTCTCCCAAACATTAACAAGATAAGAATAAGGAACTTTTCTCACTTTTTACCCTACTCTACATATTGTACCAAATGTATGATTATGTTTAGCATCTAAATATAGTTGTGAGTTGGGTAAGATGAGTGTTATTAGGAACGATAGGCAAATTATCTATCGGTAAAGTTCTTTTCCTACAATTTGTTTGGGATTATTTAGTAAGAAAATGAACATAATAGTATAGAAGACCATATTATTATTTTTTTTTAAAATTAAATTATCAATGATAGCAATAGTGGCAGTTATGGGATAAGAATCAATGACATGATGTTAGTGATAATGATAACATATAGTAACGGTAGTGACAACAATAACAATAGTGATAATAATAATGATAAGAGTAAAGAGATAACAATGATAATGCTGGTAAAAATGACAACAATAACAGTAATGAAGTAGTGGTGGTAGAAATACGATAAGATTTAATAATTGAGGCAACAATAATGATGATGATAGTGGTGACAGTAGCAATGAAGATGATGGTAGCGAGCAGAGACAATAAAGACAAAGAGAGGGATGATGATTTCACCAATAATGTGGTGTTAGAGACAATGATGTAAGTGATAAAGACTTCAAATATGATTATAATGACAATAATAACAATAACAACGATAATAATAACCGATATAAGTAATAAGAGTGACAATGGTAAAAAAAGTATGAGTTATAGTAGTATATCTTGGTAGTAATGCTAGAAATGACAGTAACAATGATAGTAATGATAGTTGTAGTATTTTTTTTTTAAAAGATGATGGTCTTAGACTTTTAAAACCACATCCAAATAATATAATATTTTACCTATTTTATTCATACTACAGAAAAGTACACTTACTTTTTGATACCAATGTTTTTTTTAATAATTTAATAATACTATGAATCAATTTATATAAATTTCAACAAATCAAGAAATAGATTATAGAAAAATAATTCTCATAACTATTCTAGTCCAGTATACAGTTTACTTTCTTTTTACTATTAAATTTTGGATTAGATATTTTTGTTTAGTAGATTTTAGTCTTTAGTAGTAAATGTTTTTGGATTCTAATCATCCGTACCAAAACAAGTCATGTCGTGTCTTGTTAATATGCTATTAAGCAAAGTAAATCAATATAAACTATGAAACATCATTTATATATATAAATATAAATTTAGGGTTAGGGATGGAAGATTAAGAAACATGATTTTGTCTTCTAATAGAATACTAATTCAAATTAAACATTATAAAAAAGTATAATTAAATTGTGGGGTAATGTAAAGTCAGTTTTCATGATCATAATTACTAAGATTGCCCACAAAAATTTCAACATTATTATTAGTTGGCATCATATATGTGAAAACATATACTTAATTACACAAAATGGACCCCTCACCATCCTTAATTTCAAAGTAGATGCTTGTCACGTGATTGACTATTCAATTATTTCTGTGGGGTCTTTTTAAACTTGGGTCTGTACTTATTACAAACAAATATTATCACTTCCAAAAATTATTCAAATAGTATTACAGTAATTTAAGTATAAATATATGTAAATAAAATTTTTTGGAATCCGAATCAATTTAGCGTACCCATTAGGTGGTTGGTCCATTCGACTAAATAGTTTGCACAAATCTTGTCCTTTTAGTGAATGGAAGAAATCTTCGAATATCTCAACACAATTGAAAATGACTTAAATTTAAGTTTTAATAAGTTAGTACGATAAGTCTAAATTATGGAAAAATAAAAAAAGTTCTTTATTTATGATTTACGTGGTACTTTTTAGTTCTTATCAAAGACAAAATTTGATCAGTAAATCAAATTATACTATCTTTTATTATTAAAAATAGAACTTAAAAGAGAGTAAAAAAATAAATAAATACTAATATATATATATTTTATATGAATTTGTAGTTAACTGACTGACTCATCTTTAAATGAACAAATTATAGTAAAAAAAAAAATAAGTATAATCTCCATAAATAACCTTCGAACATTTATCGTCTTTTTATATAATAGGTAAAATCTTTATAGATGAAATTTATCACTCATCAACTTCGTAAGTATACTATATAATATTCAAATAATATACCTAACATATGGTACAGAATTTAGTACAAGGATGATTGAAGAATCAAATTGGATTAGTTGAATGTAATTTTCAAAGCCTGACATTTGTATTAGAAATCCACATGATTGAAGAAATACCACTTTGCCAATCTAAATTACACAATTAATGCCACATTCTATTCTTGACACAAACATAAAATCATTGATTTGAGATGTCCCTTTTTTTCTTTTCTTTTTTTATTTTTAAAATTTTTAATTTTAATTTTTTTCAACCCATAAAATGAATTAATAAAATTAAACAATTGGGTTTTTTTTTTTTTTTGGGGTAAAAAATCCATATATGTAATGAATTTGTTAATAATTTGTATAGGGTTAATTAGTTTGTTGGTTAAGTAAAAGCTGGCTGGGTGGGTGGGTGGGTGGGTTCAGCTTTTAAGGGGCATTACAAGCCAAAAGCTGAAATGGGACATGCATGATGCTTACACAAAAGAAACACATGTGTGTATAAAGATGGCACTTGGGCCACCATATAATATGTGAAATATCTGATACATTCAGCCTTCTCCAAGGAATCATTATGTCCTTTCAATTCCTTTCATTTTAACCCTCCAACACTGGATTTTGCATACATATATACATACACACACATATACATATACATACATATATATAATATTAAAATCACTAGGATGTTAACCATGATAGTGGAGTTTATAATATTTCAACATAAAATCTTGGTGTTCTTCAAATATTATTATCTTTTTTTTTAAGTTAAATATTTAATTATTAGATTGAATTATATTTTAAGACTTTGTTTATAATAAATTTAAAAATTTTGTAGTAAATTTCTTTTTTTTTTTCAAAAAAACCAATATGAGAATAAAAACAAAGTTATTACTATCTTAATTGAAGTATAAAACCCTAGCTAAAAAATAAAATTTTTCGCTCGATTAAATCTCACTCGACTACCTCAATCAGACATATATGTCGTTCAAATAAATATATTTGACACTTTATTCGTGTACCATAGTTATAATTATTTCATACTAATGCCCACACGTAGCATCAATGAACATTTTTTTTTTCAAAGTTTAAATAAATAACTTCATCAATATGATCAATATTGATTAAGTTATAAAATACAAAGGTACTAAATTTATTTTAAAAGTTATATATATATATATAATTTAATATCATAATTTTTGAATAAATTTATTTTATAAAAATAAAATACATCATAATCATATAAAAAATTAAAGAAAAAAATAAAAATACGTTAACATATCATCGAAAACCTTGATAATAATAATTAATGTTCCGTGATTGTTTCTTTATCGTCCAACGATAATGAGATTTGATATTAGTATTAAAATTACATGATTTTTTAAAATATGTTTATGGTAAAAATTATTTTTTAAATAAATAAAATTTAATAAAAAATTACTTCCAAGTTTCTTTTTTTTTTAATGAAATTAATTTAAAACTTTTGTAACCTCTTTAGTTCATTATATGTGGGGTTAAAATACCGAAAATACCCCTAAAGAATTTACATTGGTAAATAATCAAAATCCCGATACAAACTTCCATTATTCCCCAAATCGTCTTCTGCCTCAGCTCTGCTTCTCACTCTGCCTCCGCAGCCAGCCACCAACGGCCTCCTTAGTCTCTCTCGTCAGCAATTTCTATTGGCCTTCAGCTTGAGCTTGAAATCTCCAGGTTATTTCTTTAATCTCGATTTCTCTTACAGCTTAGAGTTCGCAAATATGCTGTATGTAAATTAGGGATTTATTCTAAGAGATTATGGTTTGCTTTTGCTTTCCTTTGGTATGCATAGTTGCTCAGATAACTGACTCGGTAGAATTTCCGGCTGTTCTGTTGGGTTCACCTGAAAAAAACCATAGTTGAGAAAAATGGTAGTGAGGATCCGATTGTCGCGATTTGGATGCAAAAACAAACCGTTTTATCGTGTCATGGCTGCCGATAGCAGAAGTCCCAGAGACGGAAAACATCTCGAGGTGTTAGGTTATTATAATCCATTGCCAGGTATTACTCTCTCTTCCCCTCATTTAATACACAAGAGCACATACATTATCTGCTTACGCAAATGGTTATTGACTTGCAAGTTATCAATTCATCTTAATATCTGTTTTTACAGGTCAAGATGGAGGTAAACGAATGGGTCTTAACTTTGATAGAGTGAAGTAAGCTGTTATTTCCGGCTAAATTTGACTGCATATCCTCAAATTATTAGTCGCTTGTGCCATATTAGGGTATTCTGATTTAATTGTTGGGATAACTCAAAGGTGCCAATTTTAGTTTTCTCAAGGAACAAATAAACATGTTTATCTGATCCCAGGATTCTGACCATGTTGTATAGCTAGTTGTTTATTTTTCTCGCATTTAATGGTGGAGGGATAGTCCTTCATTCTTCCTCTCTTCTTTGTAAACGTGGGAAGATTTTGGAATGATCCGAAGACAATGACCTCATTGCTTCTGGGTTTTTTTTTTTTTTTTCGTTTATGTTTTGATGTGTCTGTTTATTCCTGAAAGTCAATCTGCACTGAAATGAACATGAAATATGTTCATGGCATTATCATTATATGTGAGAGAATGATAAATCATCTTTTCCACATCTTCTACGGAGCAACAAGTATCCCAAGGCCATGGATTTTATAGTTTACTGCTTTATTCTTTGTTATGTTTTGGAGTCTCAGTAACAATGTCCTTTATTACTAGTCCACCACCTGATTGGAGCAGCTCGAGAGCTTTAAGTTTCTGAGCCTTCTTGCAGGAATATTCATTATATGCTTTCATCTAATTGAGCAGCTTCAAAGCTTTATTATTGTTGACTTGATTCATGTCTTTGGCAGTACATAAAGGATCTTCCTCATAGTCTTTTCTTCTTCTTTGGCGTGCCCTTTTCCCTGCAAATTAGTTATTTACCTGAGACGACTTTCTAATATCCTTGTAGAAGGGGGCTAGGTTCCCCCTTCTGCTTTCTTGTTCCAATTTTTAGCTCTCTGGCTGCATTAGGAGTAGTTTTGATGCAGAAATTTGAACTCAGTTTTTCTAGACATAGCACCATATATTTTTAACAAGTGGATGTGAAGACTGCCAGTCCATACAGGTGTATTTGAATAGGACCCCAGCTGCTAATTCATCACTTTAACAAGATGTTGAATTACGAAGCCTTAGTTCGTAGGCTTTCTAATAACTGCCATAGTTAAGTTTTCTGAGTTTCTAGAACCAAAACAACTTATTGCTTTGCTTTATCCCAATAAAGTTTTCATTTTCCATTGCTTCGTGCAGGTACTGGTTGTCAGTTGGTGCTCAGCCTTCGGAGCCTGTCCAACGCCTTCTTTTTAGATCTGGATTACTGCCGCCTCCGCCAATGGTGGCAATGGGACGTAAAGGTGGACCACGGGACACTCGTCCTGTTCACCCTATGACAGGGTGTATCTTGGACACAGCGATTCCAGCTAACCATAAGGAGCCGGAAGGTCAGGCAGATGATGATGCAAACACAGGAACAAGGTGAACCTGATGATTCCCCTTGTTTTAAGATCTTTTTAAGGTTTCTCTTTGTCCTACTTTTGAAAGCGAAAAGATCTGGATGTATGGGATGTCTGATCCTTTTGAGAGGCTATTTGGTGTTGTTTTTTCATAAATAACCATTTTTTTGGTAGACAATGGCAACTCTTGTGGAAAAATTAGTTATCACCTAGTATGGGATACTGGAAAAGAGTTCAGTTTCTGGAACGACTCCAGGTATTGTGAGTGTTTATAGTCACATGCTGGGAGCTCAAATCAGGTGACAGTTATGCTGATAGTTGTGTTGTGTTCTCTTCCTTTCTTAGCTCAGAACCAAATTCACAGAAGGCATGGCCTAGAATTAATCTTGGAGCAAGTTTGACACAAAAGTAAACATCCACCGTCAGACTAAAACTTTGAGTTGTAGCTGATCTTATGGGCCTTCCAAAAAATAGCTTGACTTATAACAATAGACATCTCTTTCTGAGGCCGAGTTGATCGAATCGGGTTGAATTGAAGATCAGATGATTGAAGATTGGACTGAAATGGACTATTCTGTTTTAATTTATCAATTCGAAATTAAGAAAAAAGAAGATAAAATCAAGATTAAAAATTATTTTTTGTTGTATTTTTGGTCCAAATTGGTCTGAAATGGACTGATTTTCTTTAGTCCAGTCCGGTATTTTTTTTGTCTGGAACGAGAAATGCGCACTCCTGTTCATCGGCTGACTCCATCATCACTCTCGTGCTGCATCCATCCCTCTTTCAGTGTTGTTTCTTCCAAAACTGCGCATAATTCCGGGTCATTGTTTTTGCTATAAGTGTGATCTTCAGATTGTTGAAGTTTCCTAATTAAGCAGAAGTTATCACCTATAAGTTCAACTAGTGTACTATTATATTGCTGTAAACCTACATTTCATATCCTGGAAGTAAGAATTCCTAAAACCATAAGGATGCTGTAAATGCTTCCAAACCAACTTATATACCAAAATATTTTAAGAACACAAATAATCTAAAACATGAAATTAGCTACAGAAGTCTGCTGACCAGTTGTTTCTTTTTTTTTTTTTTTTTCATGTATATAAATATTTTTTCTCTTTTCGTATTAGAGAAAAAAAAAAGCAATTTTTAGTTTGGAACGTAATAAATTTATTAACGATTTAAATTATTTATATTTTAAAAGTTTTACAGTAATCAAAATCCTACACTGAAACTAAAAGAAAACACTCCAAAAGAGGCTCAGCAACACAAACTCCACAGCAGCACAAAAGTTTTGCAGTAAGTTAATAAATACTAAATGATTGATATAATTTTGAATAAATTCTATTACTTTTCCTTTTTCAATGTTTGTATAATGTTAATTAAATTCATAATAATTTTATATGTATACAAAACATTAGCACGTATGGATGTAGGAAGTGAAGATAAAGGAAGATGAGCTTATGGTAAAGATGATGAAGATAGCAGTCTGTGCGAGCTTCACAAAGTGATATATAATCCATAATTCTTATCGACACAGCTCAAGCACCGAAAAGACTCCAGTCATTAACTTTGAAGCTAGAGACTGCAAGTTTGAATACCTCTCCCATTGCCATACATCCAGATTGTGCCGCAGGCACAGCTAGACCAGCGCCAACTGCTGTAGCACTTTCACTCAAAGGGCTGCAGCAAACCAGAGTGAAGCAAATGCGAACGTGTCAGACTCGAAGAAACATTCAAATTCCATAATAATTTGGCCATTGTTGGAGCTAAAGAATTTGTAGGATGGATTGTATGTAACATAATGCCACGAAGCGACTTCCGAGTACTACTTACTTTATCAAGATTGGCTCATGAGCAACTATTAAAACATCTGTACCAACTGCTTTAAGTCGTAAATTTGCCAAATAAACCTGCAATATAGTTAATAAGCTTCCTTTAATATTTCAAAACCACTTGGTGATGAAGAAGAAGACATAAACAGATACCGTCATTTGCCAAATAAACCTGCAATATAGTTAATAAGCTTCCTTTAATATTTCAAAACCACTTGGTGATGAAGAAGAAGACATAAACAGATACCGTCAAAAGATTTTGTGCTTCTCTGCCTTGCCTTCCTTTGGAAATTGCCTGTTAAAATAATTGATAAGAAACAATCAACAAAAGAAGAGAGAAAAAGATAATCCTAGAGGAAAGTAAGAGAAAAAGGAGGGGGAGAGAAGTTATGAAACTTGAGATTTTCAGCAAAATTACCCTATATGTGTATCAGTCAAAGAGATCGAGAAAGAGAGACGATGGAAGGGGAGCAAGGAGACTTGATAAAGTTAATCACGAATATAAAAATATGAGAGCCATTAAGGGTAAAAAGAGAGAAAAATAATCAGATATTCTCATTACTTTCTTGCAAAAATCATTCCTAAAAAAATGCTTGACGGTGCTCTCCTACTTAGTAAAATTGCTAGCAGTCAATTGCTACTCTACTAAACTAATACGGAAGAAAATTAACCAAGCATCAGCACAGATAGAGAGAGATTCTGCCACCTTGACAAAGAAGAAAACTATATGAGAAGAGAAATTGGAGAACAATTTAACCTGAGATTCATACACATCTAAGGATCCTGCCGTAACACAAACTTGAACCAGACGTCAAAATACAGAAAAGTAAAGACTTCAATCTATAACTAAAGTTGTCGGAGAAAAGAAATTTGAGAATGTATCTACTGGCTATAACCAAATATTTATAGTATATCCACAACATTGGTCATAAACACATATACCAAAAGGCCTGCCTTACAAACAGCAAGAAACAAACTATTCAGCCACACCAAATGTCTAAGCTAAGCTACAAAGTCCGGCAAGAAAAAAATCTTGAGTTATACTTGAAGCAACCAAAAATTTGCAAATTTCAGAGGCTCATAATAAGCACATAGTTGTGGATGATTTGCGCAGGAGGGATAATAAACCGTAGACCAAGAAATTTTCCACGAACAAGAATGGAAATACTATTAGTGATAAATATTTTTTAAAAAAAGAAAAGTGACCATTAATAATAAATATATAGCTGATATAAAGCACAACAGAATGCCCAGTGTCAAATTCTAGTAACGTAAAGGAAACTTTTGCTACAGGGAATAATGTTGATACCATTTGGCCAACAGCAGTTGTAATAACAGCAGGGACATCTCTGTAACATAGTCCAGGGACCTCAATTACACCAGTCTGCTCAATCAACTAAAATACAGCAAACAGTCAATTACAACCCATTCAATTTACAAAACAACTAAAGCAAATATCAGAACAACACATCTAATCATTCTCTCCTTTCTTCGTGCATGCATAGAGCATATGTGAGAAAGAGAAGAAGACTCAAAAGACTTGAATTAGTAATAACCAACGCCGGAAAATAATAAATTCTAACCGTGTGACCTAGTACTAAAAGATAAGGTAAGTCACACTGGTCTACATTATAAAACATGATGTCCCCATTTCTTAGTATAGCCCAAATGCTAAAAACTGTTGCTAATAAGCGAAACACACAATATAGGGGCAAGAACGGATGAATGGGAAAAGAAAAAAAATGCAAGACAAGCATACAAGCCAGTCTATTAAGAATGTGAAATTTAACACAAAAGAGAAATGTAAGAAGCTAAGAATCAAGCCTAATCAATAATCAGAACGACAAAAGGCATTTAAAGGATTACCGTGCATCCTTCAGCATCTTGCTCAGTGGCAAGGTCTTGAAGAAACCAGGTGGCACTTCCATTATCCCCAACGTCATGCTTGAGATCTAATAGCTCAAAGATCAAGCTCTCATCACGTGCAGGATCCACGAATACCTCCTAAAGCCCATAAACACAAAATCAATCATTCAACAATTGTTGACAAATACTTAAAAAGAAAGTTTCTTCTTAAGGGACAGAAAATAGAATAAAAGAGAGCATAAACCAGGAGTAACCTGATGATCAGGAACTTGCCGAATGTCACTCACATCCTACAATCAAGAAGCCACGAACCAATCAACGGAATTAACCATATCGATCAACACCGATGACAAAAAAGAAAAAGAAAAAGAAAGAAGCACACCATCTAAACTATGAAAACATTTTGCAAGCAAAAACTTAATCTAACCTGAAACCGAAGAGGGAAGGTACTGGAAATTGCACCACCAAACAGAGGCCTCTCTGAATAGAAATCTCCAGACATTTTTGCAATTAATAACAATTTCCCTTCACAAATTAAACATTCGAAAATGTCAAAAAAACAGTAATCTTAACACAAATAAAACGAGAAACTGAATTAGCTGGATATGAAAAAACTGAACATGAAAAAACAACTTGAAATGCCCAGCATTCATATGAACAAACCCAATTAGGATATGGAAAATGAAATTAACTTTGACATTCACGGAATTAACGGAAGAAGAGTACCCAGATCATCCGGAAGCAGAGAGTGAGAGAGAAGTGCGGGTTTAGCTGTAGACGTTTCTAAAAGTTTCACCGTTTTATAGGTGAACTGAGATGCGTCTATTTGACGCCACCCCCGCTTGATAAGTACGCGAAACAGGAGGGGAAGAAAACGAAAACCAGAGACGGTGCCGGTGGAGATGAGGAACGGCGAAAGAAGAGAAAACTCAGTACTGAAATTTCCGGTAAAATAATTATTAATTAAAGGTATTTTCAGTTAAAAATTATTTAATATTTGTGAATCATATTTTATTTTAAAAATATAAAAAATTTTAATTTGACGAAATTCGTTTTCAACAGTAAATATTTAATAAGAATTAAATATTTTTTTAAATTTTATTTTTGTTTGTTGTAAAAAAAACATTTTATATTTTACTTATTTAATAATAATAGTAAAAAAAATGGGGCTTCGATTACAATATTATTTTTTGAAAAATTTATTTATAATTTTTCAATTGTTAACTCTATTCTTTTATATGTTAAAAGAAAATAAATTTTCGACACATAAAATCATATTATTAAAAATTGATTAAAATATGCGTAGATATATATCCAACAAATGTACAAAAGAATTTTGAATGAAACTACATATTAAATTCTCAAACTCTATATTATAATTTTTTTAAGGAGAAATAAGTGATGGGCCGAAGTTGGGCCTTTTCCGGGTTAATAGAAAATGGACTCGGGCTTGGGCCAAGAAATGTTAATTTTGGGCTTATGCATTTCTCTCTTTCTTTTTGGGTTTAGCGACTATGGGTTTTGTATATGGCTTCAATAGATTGTATTTTGGATTTGTGTAATGTGGGTGGATTATCGATAAAACTAAAAGGGTTAAAATGGAATGAGATTTAGGAAATGGGTTTGATAGAATGGTTAAATAAATTACATATAAGTCTTTGGAAAAATGAAAATTAATCAAAGATTTAAATTAATGGACTAGATCCTTACATATATAACTATATTTTCTTTCTTAATGATTTTCATTTTTGTGATTTATTTAAAGTTACGTAAAACTTAAAACTAACAAAATTTGAGTATGATATGATTGAGTTCGATGAATACATAGAGAAAACCTTCTTTAAGA